ATTATTCATGATTAAAGTGCGCAAATTTTTTCTTCATTTTCTTTTTCCTGTCTTTTTTCTAATCCATATATTTTATAAAGTACAGTCATTTTTTTTTCTAATTTTAATTTCCACATCTCTCATTTTTCAAAATTTGCAAATCATAGTTTTTTTTTTTTTTGAGATTATTTCACTTTTCATTTTCTGGAATCCATAATCTACCGGTTTATCATTCCTACCAAATTAATAGTTCGTAATGCAATAACAATTCGTTCGCTATTTACGCCAAGCTGTCGACGATATTGCACTTCTGATTCCAATGCTTGTGCAACGAGAATTAGACTAAAATTTTTTAAAATTAAAATAAAATAAAATAATACAGTTTATACATGTAAAAAAAAAGTTTACACCTTTAATTTAATTATAATTTAGTTAAAATAGAGGATAACATCTAACCGGTTAAGCGTTCCGGTTGATAGCCGTCGTTCCGAATTAATTTTCGAAATATTACGGCTTGAAGTATTTAATGTTGTTCGACCGGATTCTTTATAATTTCGCATTAATTTACACATATCTAATGCACGTTCCGCTGTTATAGGCTATAAATATTAAAACGATTAATTATAATATTATTAATTAATGATGGAAAAAAAAAATTGCAAAAAAATGACAGGAAAACATTTCGAGAGAATGAATTAAATCATTGATTACAGTTTTGAAAATCCACTTGGAATATTTTAAAATTATTTGCAGTAAATAACAGAGATAAAGAAGAAAAGAGGGAGAGAGAGAGAGAGAGAAAATGGAAGAGATAAATATGAAATTATTAGTTAATAATGAAAAAAACATAACAAATAACAGCTATTCTAAAAAAAAATGAATTAAAACATCGATTGAGATTTTTAAATTTTGTTTGGAAAAATTTATGCTTTATTTACAGAGAAATGAAGACACAAAGAATGAAGAGAAAGAGAGAGAGAGAGAGAGAGAGAAAAGCAGAGAGCAAGAATTTAGGAAGAAAAATGATTGAAAGAACATGTAGTAAAATAGAAATCCCACGGGATAACTGAAGAAATTGAAAATTTTTGTTGTCCAAATTTGCTTAATTTCCCTTTCACAAAATGTTGCAATTATTTAACATAAAAGATTATAATTACAATCAGTAAAATATATTTTTCTTTTTTCTTTGTCAACAAAATTCAATTACTTTATTTTGCATTAGCAATTTTTTTTTTTTAAATCATTAACTAAAATATGCGAAAAAAGAAAGAAAAAGCAAAATGATAAGAAATGAGTGAATAAATAGAAATAAATAAGCAAACAAAAAGAAAAATAAATTTATCTTTCATAATTTATAGATCGATAAATTTGTTATTTTATTTATTTCTTTGTTTATTGCCTTTTGTTTACTCATTTTCGTGTCATTTATTTTCGAATAGCTTTCGTTTTTTTTTTTTAACGATATATTCATAGCTTCTAATCTTAGTCATTTTCATTTTTAAATTTACAAAAAAAAATGGAAGTCATTTTAAATTTATAGAAGAACGAATACGGTTAGTCTTTCGTTGCAAATTTCATTTCTAAATCATTTCATTCTGAATAGTAATTTAAAAATGATCATATACCATAAAATACTTTAAAACAACAAACACAACTATACATATAAAAAAACAAATTTGGCTAATTTAAAAGATTTGTTAATAAAAAAAGATCTAGGCAGAATTAAGAAATGAAATAAGGAATTTTGAAATTGTCGGATTTAAAACTAAAATTTTCAACTAGCTCTTAAATTAGGTATGTGTATTTTTGAAGGCATTGATAAGGAATGAATAACGAAATAAATAAATGAAAGGATGAGTCAAGAAGAATAAGTTTAATTTGGTAGGAGGGAGGAAATTTCTAGTTTTAATCAAAGAAAATTTTTTATTGCAAAAATTTATGGGATAATATTTTTCATCACTTCAAAAATATTTGATATATGTAATTATGTGAAAATTGGAGAAAAAATTGATGAAAAGAAACGAAAAATGATAAATGATAGAGATGAGAGATGGTGGAATAACATGAGATTATGGAGAGAATGAAAGAAAAAAAGGATAAATTTGTGAGAAAGAAAAGATTTTTTTTTTAGTTGAAAAAATTCATTGATAGAAAAATGAATGAATGAAATCAAAAACGATTTCTCATCAAATTATTTCACATTAAATAAAATGTACAGTAAAGAATGGTAAAAGTTATTTCGCAGGGAGTTTATTTTTATTAC